GATTTCTGTATGAGTGACACCATCCTAATAAATCATTAACTTATTATTATATTAATATTAGCTATTATTATTATTTTTTCGTTGTAATTATTGTAAACATACTTATTATTACTATTACTATAATTTGTATAATTATTTTTTTAATCTTATGTTATTATTATATATTTTTGCTATTATTACTATTATTATTATTATTATTATTATTATTATTATTATTATTATTATTATTATTATTATTATTATCAAAACTATTGTAAAATGATTTATGGAAAATAAATAGCTTGTTGTTGTTGTTGTTGAAATGCATGGTAGAATATAAATAGATTAGCTGATCAGGGAATACCCCATTTTTTAAAGACAAATTACAGATATGCTGAAGGGGATATTCAATAATATCGCAGACATTTTTTTACAAAGTTCACGCTAATGTCACAGTAATGTCCTAGACTTTTGTTGAATGGTATTAAATGCATTTTTAAGCTCATCCAGAGATATTTCAAGCTCGTTCATTACTGAGGAGATACAATTTATAACATTTTTTTCCAGGAGTTATTTGATTAGCTAGTTTTTCCCCAATTTTTTAAAATAATTATTAAATTTCTCTGCAAAATCTATTGCCTTATTGGCTACTATATCATTCTCATCTGTTTTTAAGTATTGGAGGAACATTTTGGTGGCATTTTTTTTTCCCGTTACTTCTTTTATGACACCCCATGTTATTTTGGTGTTACCGCAATAATTTTCTTATAAATTGCAATAATAGTTTTTTTTAATTTTTCAAATAGATTTTTGTATTGTTTATATATTTTTACGTTTTTATAAGTTTTTCAAAAACTTTTCATAAAGTTTTTTTTTTTTTTTTTAAAGATTTAATAAACCCTTTTGTCATCCAAGGATTTTTAAGGTTTTTGAGTTTAGTCAATTGTTCAAGCTTCGGAAATTTTTAAACACACTTATACAAGTTTGTACTTTTTTGTACAAACTTGTATAAGTGTGTTTAAAAATATCGTGAGATGTGTTAGTGTCTTTGCAATTAACAACCTGATTCCAGTTTTCAATTGATAAGTTGCTTCGGAACTATTTTTTTCATTTATTTGCCTTTTGTTATAATCATTTTTGTTTTCTTTTTTGTTGTTGAAATTGTTAAGTAGAAGTATAACGGAAAATGGTTACTTATGTCAGATTTTATTATTCCGCTTTGAATGTTACACTTTATGGTATTATTTGTAAATATGTTATCAATTTGGGTAGCGTTTAGAGTTAATTTACTTGTTGGCTTAATTATTAAGGATACTACGCCGTGCTGTTAGTGATTATTTAAAAAGCGTTTGACATTGCTATTAGTTTTAATTTTTAAAAGTTCCAAGTTAGTATCTCCCATTATGTATAAGTGCTTATTTTAGCTAGGTCAAGGTACTGAATTATATGTTGTTTAAAAAATTTTATATTGCCATATGGCAGTCTATATAAGCCAGTTATATATGCATTTGCTTTACTTTTATTTGTTAATTCAACCGTGAAAAGTTCACAGTTTGCGTTTAGTATGCTGAGGCTTTCTACTTTTTTAAAGTGTATTATATTATGTATGTAGAAACATATTCCTACGCCAGTACCTCTACTACGAGTTTGATGGACTTGGTTAAACAAAATCATGGGCTCAGATTAAATTATGGATAGAACTTTTACTTCCTTTAAGTAAAAAAGTCATTTTAAATCTAAAATATTAAATATATTTACAATTAAAATTAAACTATTAAATAATAATAATAACAATAATAATAATAATAATAACAATAATAATAACAATAACAACAATAATAATAATAATAATAATATTACTAAGTTAATATAAATAACTTAATATAAATAATATTACTAATATTACTAATAATATTACTAATAATAATAATAATAATAATAATAATAATACTTAAACTAAATTGCATCTAAAATTTTATTATATAAAGTTGATTTTAGAATTGCTTAGTAAAAGTAATTTATTTTTACAAATAAAAGTAATTAACATAAGTAATTAACATAAATAATTAACATAAAAAAGTTACTTATAAATGGAAATTATTTGCCAAAGTAAGTCATAAAAAAGTTATTCAGATGTTACTAATACAAATAATTTTTGTTTTTTAACTTTAATACATCTTATTATCGTTGTTTTTTTCATATGGTTTGTTACAGCTGGTGTTCTCCTGCAATTGTTAAATGATTTAGTTTTTAAAATATTTTTTATCACCATAAAAATTTTATCATTGCAATCAGTGACAGATCCAGGATTTTTTGGTGTTTGAGATTCCAAACATTTGTTTATACTTATGTCAAATAATGATGCCTTGCAAAAAATTGCGATGATTGGTGGCTGGGAACGAAAAAGCCTTTTAACTTCATTCCACCCCCTCCCCCCTCCTACTCCAAACGTGAGAGACACCAAGTTGATAGAATATTTTTTGTACTATTCTCAACTAGACTTACATTCATTAGTAAATTTTAAGTTTCATAATATTATCTCTGAGCGTTCAAAATTAATGACTATATAAAATTTGTAATCCCCTAAAATTGAGGAAGGGTAAAAATGAGAATTGTTTTACCCTAATAAAAGTTTGTTCAAAACAATTCTCAAATTCTCCTACTCCTTTTAAATACAAATGAATATTGATGGCTAAATGTAGTCAAGGCCAGCGTGAAGAGTATGCGTGGGAGGAGTGTAGGACGGTGACATATCTTCATTCAATAAATCAGTTGGTAAATTTGGACCTTTTTTTAAATATATTCATTTGTCAAAATAGGACTTGGATATTTATAATATGTCAGCATATTAGGAAATGAGAGGCTTTTTTTTTGTGGGTTTCATAAAAGTTTCATATGGGTTTCAGTTTTATTTTGTAAGAATTTTTAGTATCATTCTCATCTATATATATCATCTATGTCGCAAAATGCTACAAGCGACTTATTGTTGTTTTTCTCTCTCAGGCAGAATGTTTTTCCTACATATGAACAGCCCCTTAGAACAATGTTTATATTCATTTTGCAAATTTGAGTTTTATTTTTTGTTATTATAAACATTCATTTAAATGCAGTTTTCAGAATTAAAGTAATAAAGTAAATAGCGTAAAGTGATTTGAAGAATTTCGAAAGTAAAAAATTGTTTCAATACCGTTTTTATGGTTTCGATAATATCAAAATATTTCGATGCAAATAATAAAGATTTGACAATAAAATATTGCTTTGGTATCATTTTAAAAATTTTGATTGCATAAAAATTTTTTGATACAAATTATAGAGTTTCGAAATAGAAAAACTGGTTCGGTAAATTTTCGGTAATGTAAATATATTTCGATACAATTTTCAAAATTTTAAAAGCAGAAAAATTTTTGGATTTTTAGTATTTTGACACTTAAAAAATTTATCCATAGAATTTTGTGAATGTCGTAAAACGAAATAGATTTGGTTCAAAATTAAGTAATAAGAAAACATTTTAAGCTTACTGAAACAAAAATAGAGTTTCGAAAAGTTTTTTTTTAATCGAAAACTCAACTTTTGCAAAAGTAAACAACTCTAATAAAAATAGAAATAAAAAGTTTTTTTCAACTTTTAAATGAATGAACTTGTTAATTTTAATGACGACACATTTTTACACATTAAAAAAAATCGATCAACATAATTCATTTCCTCATCCTGCGTACTAATTGCGTTTTTTACTTAACTAGCGCGACACTTTAAATCTGAGACTGGTTTAATTTTTTTTTTTTACTATGATCTTATGAACCTTTGGAAATTTTAAACCAATTGGGAATACCGCGTTATACGCAGTGTCATCAGGCTGGCTAACACCCTGTATGATGATGATGATTATGATGATGATGATGATGGCGATGATGATGATGACAATGATGATGATGATGATGATGATGATGATGATGATGATGATGATGATGATGATGATGATCATGTGGATCATTATATATAAATGATGCAAATTTCTATATTTAAATTTGCATACATATATGTAAAATATAACATGATTTTTGAATAATAAAAAAGTATATATAGGATGTTTCAATGTTTATGCAGCCCTGGTCAAACACCGGACCCAGTCCTTTTATATATATATATATATACATATATATATATATATATACATATATATATATATACATATATATATATATATATATATATATATATATATATATATATATATATATACATACATATATATATATATATATATATATATATATACATATATATATATATATATATATATATATATATATATATATATATATATATATATATATATATATATATATGTATATATAATATACAATATACATATATATATATATATATATATATATATATATATATATATATATATATATATATGTATATACAAAATACAATATATATATATATATATATATATATATATATATATATATATATATATATATATATGTATATATATGCTATAGTATATACATATACATATATATATATATATATATATATATATATATATATATATATATATATATATATATATATATATGTATATATATATATATATATAGTATAAATATGTATTTATGCTATAGTATTATTCTATGAGATAGGGAGGGGGGGGGCAGTAGGTCAATTATAAAATTATGGAGACACTAAATTAAAAAAAATATCACAAAATGTTGGGTTGTTAGGTGAAAAGCGTTGCTACTTTTAGGGAGGTAGAGGGTACTCAAAAAACATATGGTAAAATGCGGGGGCATGGTGGGGTGGAATTAGCCTAAAAAAAGCGTACATACTTTATAAACAACCCCTTAAGGTAGAACCTCATCATCGCCAATAGAGTAAAAAGATGAATTAGCAGTAGAAAAAAATTTAACAAATAAACTTTTTGGTTAATGTGCTTGTTTAAAAAATAACTTTGAACATTTTTTTGAAAATTTTATTTTTATGACTATATCATATTTATTGAGATGACTTACTTCTGGTTTCAATATGTTCAATCTAATCTTTGAGTCCTGTTGTATTTCTTTGAAAACATATTTTGGGTCCAGAAACCTTTCATCCATCTTATCTGGCTTCAAGTATCCCTAATTTAAAAAAATATATAACAGATAAATTAATTAAATGTATTTCTCTAGTCTGCTATACTATTATTTATTTCAACTTCAAATGTTTTATAGCCATTTGCATAAAACTCCTAACTTTTCGATAACTTTTTAACATTTTTATAAAAGAAGGTTTTAGCTCCATCTATTATGCTTTTTCTGTTATTTCTTTTGTTAAGTTCCTATTAAAGGTATTTTAAAGTGCTGAGGCAAGTTGTGTTCATATTAAAGAAAATAATAAAAAAAAAAGTTAGGGATGAATTTTTTCAAGTAAAACAAAATAATAAATTTATACCAAGAATAACAAACTATGTAATTTTATTCGAAGATTGCTGTCTCAAAGTTAGCGTGTTGTTTTAAGTCTTTAACATATATTTATGCGGTAGTGGTGTAGTGGTAGAGCGCTCGCCTCATAAACAAGTGGTTCCGAGTTCGATCCCCACCACGTCCCTGGTAGTACCGCGCTCAACTCGTTTCTCCGCGCAGCGGCCTTGCTCGCCAAGGTTCGTGTTTCGGAGTTATAGAGTTGAGAAAGGGTTATAACCACAAATAAGTAGCCTCCTCGTCTGTAGTGGCCTTCTCGGCCTTGAGGAGGTGAATTAAAATAAAAAAAATATATATATATATATACCAGACTTAATAATTTATTCAAGTGTGTTTAATTCCAAAGAATTTCAGTATATGATGTCATTGTAGGATTTTTTATTTATTTAACAAATATTTGCCAAGCTCTTTAATTTGTAGTTAGAAAATATTGATAATTATGTCAATTTAGAGCAAATTGATATTTTTTTATGATTTGCATATGAATATAAAGGTAATTTTGTATTTTGCAATTGGACTTTGATAACTAAATGATTAAAATGTTGGCAACTCCATGCCGATTCGAACCACTTTAAAAAAAGACAGAAAACCTGTATGGATAAAAAAACAAAATAGTTGACAATCATATCAGCTGTGAAAATTTGAATTTTGATATTGTTAAAGTGCCAAAATTGTTTGAATAATGATGTAAATGTAAATATTGTAAAACTATGCCATTTGAAAAAGAATGTCTTTGTCGCATATAAGTAAAGGGAATAAATATCGCCTCAGGTATTACAAATTAGTTAATAAATTAACAATTTTTAAAATATAAACTGATGTACGCAGTATTAAAACTAATAATAACAAACATTAACTTTTTGTACATTGCTATGTAAAGTAAAAAAAGCATATAAGTGCTTAGAAGCACAGAGAAGTTTTTTGACTGGTTCCATTGAATAATATCAGTTATGAATATCAATGGCCAGGGAATGATAAACTGATTTGTCATTACTAGAACAAATAATATCTCGGCAAATTCTAATTATAAGTTTTTATTGTAAATTTACTTAATATTTTTAATATTTTATAACCGTCAAATTAAAACTGTGAAGTATGTTTTTTGTGCCTTTTTTATAGTATTTACACTTTACAGATTTATAGACAGCTTTTTATTAATTTAATTAAGCAATAAATAATGTTTTATGGCAACAATTCAAGACAGATGGCAATTAAAATTGTCAACGTGTTGCAGCGCGCATTGAAAAACATATTATATTTAATATTTCTCAATTTATATTTTGTATTTGGCAAGCATTTCACATTAAAACCTATTTCTTAACATTACAAATCTTTTTTTTTTCTTAACATTTTAATGTTTATTAACATTTGCAAATTGTTTTTCATTAAACAATTTCAATTTTAAATTTGACTCCATAATACTACACTATTTTGCAATCTTTAGCAATAATTTCTCAATTTTAAAAACAAAATAAAATAAGCAATACATGTTTTACAGAATAAATTTCATTAAATATATTCTCGCATGATTAAATAAGAATTTCAAAAATACTTGTACCCGATGAAAAGTTTAACAAATAAATGTTGTTTATTAAACTTTTATAAGGTTAAATGATACAAAGTAATTTTTTAAACAGAACCTCAATAAGGATAAATATAACAATAACAATAAATATAACACAAAAATAATTTATAGCAATAGACAAACTTAAAATATCTGAAATATTTCATTCATATTTTTAATGCAGACTTTAGAAAATAAAATAACTAAAGAAATTCTAGAGTAATTTATGAAACAAAAAAACTTTTACATAATAACAACTAAACAAATTTAGTAACCTATAATGGAAAAAATAATAATCTGTAATTTGATAAAAAAAAAAGAACTTTTAGATTTCTTATCAAAATTCTACAATGACATCGTATACTAAAACTCTTTGGAATTAAACGCACTTGAAAAAATTATAGTCTGTAGATTGTGGCGTATATTTTAAAAACATGAAACAACACGCTAACATTTATGACAGTGAGCTTCGAGTAAAACTTTTAAAGTTTTTTTAAAAGTATTTTTTTTGGTATGCGTTTATTATTTTGTTTTACTTAAAAAAATTCACCTCAAATATTTTTTTTTATCATTCTTTTTAATATGAACATAACTTGTCTCTGCACTTCGGGATCCCTTTAACAGTTTTAATCTCTATTAATCAATAGCTAAGTTTTGAGAAAGTATAAATATATGAAATACAATAAAAATAGTAAAAATATAAATATTAGTTAAAAAAGTGTAAAAATAAATCTTAGAATATCTTTACTTTACCTTTAGGCTTAAAAGAAATTGGGCAAAAAATAAGGGCAATATGAGCACAGATTTTTTTGTTTTCTGCATGTCAAAGCAATTCATATTTTAAGACTCAAAAGACAGGTTAGATAATCTCTATGGGTTATATACCAATACAACCTGTTTATTAACCTTCAAATAATACTGCATTGATAATATGGATTATATAAACTGTCTATTAATCTATATAATTAAATACTTAAAATAACTTTTATGGAAGAATTGGGTAAAATTATGCAGCTAAGCTAAGAGTCTCTATTTCAAATTTCTCATAAAAATGCCATTCTTGAAAATATAATAGAAAATTATCTTGGCAAGTGCAACTTCATGAGACTGTTTTGTTTTAAGTAAACTGTTTTAAGGAAAAAAAAATTGAAAGCGGATCTAATAAATTCCATCACAACTCTCATTTCCACTTTTTTTTTCCAGAATTTTATATGCACTTGATAAAACTAAAACAATTAAGAAGTTATTAATTTAACTGGAATTTAAAAAAATAACAAATAAACATTAATATTTTTGAGTAGAAAATGAAGCATTGATGAAACACTTATAAAAGCCAATAAAAATTTTTCATAAAACCTTTATTTGAATTTACACACAGACAGATTTTTTATTTCTTCTTTTTTACACTCAAGCATATTTGTTATAGACTTTCACATTATCTTGTTTTCTACTTCAATAAGAAGTATATTTGCAGTATTTGTAAGTAGAAAATTTATTTGCAGTACTTTAAGACAAAATCTTACTTGGCATACAACAAATATTTCAGCAGATTCATTTCTTGATGCCTAAAATTAATAAAAACCTGATAAAAATCAGAATAAAATAAAAAACTTGTTCCTGATAAATAGGAGTAAAAGTTATTCTACTTAAGACATTTTATTCATAACTTATTTTTATTTTTTATTTATTATGAATATATATTTTTCAATAAATTTTTCTAAAAAGAATTATTTTTATTACCATTAATTTTACAAAACTGTTACATAAATTAACAAAACTGTTACAAAACTGTTCATAAATTTACATAATTGTTTCAAAACTGTTACATAAATCAACATTCTTATTACCTTTTATTTTACAAAACAAGTAATTTATAAAACAAGTAATACATGTAAAAAAAATTGAGAAATTTAAATATTAAAAAAATACTTTTTCTTTTTTTTTTAATTTGTAATAATAATAAATACAATAATAACCAAAAGCTTAAGATCTCCTAGCTATAATAGGGTGATTGATAATAGGTGAATCATGTGTAATTGGTGTTGATTGGTGCTCAACGGATGATGCAATTGCATGCAATAATCTATTGCTATTGCATAAGCCACCATTTACTCATAATTTATAATTAAATCATTACTACCAGTGTTACCAGAACAACAATCAGAAAGATATTTATTGTTTGACTGTAAGCTTCATAAATAGGCAAAAAATTATCTTTTTCCAAAACTGAAAGGACCGAATTCTTTACATTATTCAATGAAAGATATTCAGGACAGCAAATTAGTATAAAAGTAATTATTTTATTTTATGAAAATATTTAATATAAACTTTTTGCAATAACTTTTTTACAAATAATTTATTGGTTGGATACTTAAATTTTTACGCAACTAAGTATATATTTAATTGCGTAAAAATTTTTAAATATATATTATATATTTTATATATATATATATATAAATATATATATATATATATATATATATATATATATATATATATATAAATATATATATATATATATATAAATATATATATATATATATTTATATATATATATACATATATATATATACATATATATATATATATATATATATATATATATATATATATATATATATATATATATATATATATATATATATTGACACAACATATTATAAATATATATGTATATATCCAATATATATACTATATATATAATATATTGTATATATAATATATATATTATATATATATACATATATATATATATATATATATATATATATATATATATATGTATATATATATATATATATATATATATATATATGTATGTATGTATATATGTATATATATATAATATATATATTATATATATAATATATTATATATACAATATATATATATTGGATATATACATATATATTTAAAATATGTTGTGTCAATATATATATATATATATATATATATATATATATATAAGCAGCTGCACAGAAAAAAGTGTTGAATGTTAAAAAATCAACTTAACTTTGTTGAAGAATTTTTTTCCTATGGAAATATAATTATAAGTTGACCTATATATAAACTAAGCTTTTATCAAATAATGTCTATAGATTGTCAATGCTTGCTTTTGAGACATTGATATAAACTTAAAATTGAAAACATATCATAACCATTTAGCATTAGCAATCAGGAAAAAAAAAATTTTGGTTTTGTTTAAAAGATTATCTTTTTAATAGAATTCTATTCAAATTCATTTTAACAAAAAAAAAAATCTCAATTCTGTGTAGTTTTGGAAATTTCTGCAGCAGGTTTATGCTTTTACTTTAAAATTTTTTAAAAATTTTTTTGAAATCAAAACATGTTTTTACAAAATACAGACACAATTAAAAATATATCAATACAAACTGAAAAAATGTGCATTTATACTTTCACATTTATTTCATGATCATAAATGATCTGGAAATCTAGATTTTTTTCTCTAAATAGTTGTATTTAAATTTACATCAAAGCAAAGACACTAAAAGTAATCTTTTAAATTCATCTTCTACACCAACTCATTTTGATATTTAGTTTTTATAGATGTAATTGCTGAAAAATTTGTTTTGAAAAAGAATCAAAAGTTTGACTCAACAACTGAAAACAAAATTTTATTCTTTTTTGTTCCATAGTTTTACTAAATTTTTTTTTTATAACATAATTTTGTTCCATAGTTTTACTAAATTTTTTTTATAACATAATTTTGCTCCATAGTTTTACTAAATTGTTTTTATAATATAATTTTGTTCCATAGTTTTACTAATTTTTTTTTATAACATAATTTTGTTCCATAGTTTTACTAAATTGATGCATAAACATAATTTGCGTAGTGATAAAGTAATAAACATCTTCTCCGAGTCGCGTCTATTCCATACTGCAGTAAAAAAGGACTCACTACAAATAGCCAAAACCCAACTATCGCCAAATTTGTAAAGCACCAATATTTTTTTAATGATACAATATTAAAAGTGTAGATCTACTAAACAAAAATATAAATAACTAAATAAATTACTTACCATACCACTGAAAGAAAACATGAAAACACAATAAATTAAAATTCTAACAGAAACACAAAAATACTAATAAATTTATTTTCAAAACATATAAAACCAAATAAGTACTTATTAGCATAAATAAACCCAAGACAATCAGAAAGCAGTATACTTTGTAAATTTTTTTTTAAAAGTCAACAAAACAACAATAGTCTTCAATAAACTCTAACGCTGTCATAGATACCTCATTCAAAATATGTTAACCAATCAAAAGTGTAAGAAAATGAGCAACCCGCGCAACCCAAAATCATTACAATAATTAAATATTTCTATGATAGCGAGGAGAAGAAAAAATGTTGCATAAAAACCATTAAAAATGTAACCCACATAAATGCAAACATGTAGTGAAGGGTATAAGAAATTCTCTGAATAATAATAAAAGACGAAAATTGTGTATATGAAAATTAAAACAAAGCTGAGTAATGAATGTAAGATAAAATAACACAAATACTCCTTGATAATAGTAATAATATGAAAATCAGCAGATAAATAATATATTACTAAATATTGTAATAAGATTAACTAAATACTGTAATAAGATTAACTAAATACTGTAATAAGACCAGAAATATTTTAGCCAAATGATTAGTTAAAAAATATTTTTTGGGTGATACAACAATGATATAAGTTGTGTTATAAAAACAATGTACAAAGCTGGAAAAAATATTGTTTAGAGGTAAAGTTTTCTCCGATTAAAAGTAATTTTGAGACTAATTAAAAATTATCAAAAAGTAAAATTATCTCTATGGTGCGAATTAGACATAATTTTGAGACTATAACAAAACAACAACGAAAAGACATACATCAAGTAAAACATGTCAAAAGCTGCTAGTTTAAAAGAATCACTCTTCTTATCTACATTCATACCACATACTATCTATTAAAAGAAAATATTATCTAAATAAGGATGAGTTCAAACAAAGATAGTTTATCTATAAAAGAACAAAAAGCTTGCAAAACAATGTAAAAAGGCTGTATGCGCATAAGGGTGTATAGGTGTAATGTGCAAGTCTGTGCTATTTATGTTGTGCAGTAGAGTCTTGTGTTGTTAGTAACCAGCATAAAAGATTTATCTCTGAACAACACCAAGCCAGCCCATTCATACTCCAGAAAGCCATGATGGATTTAACACCTATACATTTATAACTGACCTCTGATTCTAAAAAACTAGCCCAGGCATCTTCCAGAGACAAACATCTTTATCCGAGGTGACAGTAATGGTGATTTGGAAAATAGTTGTGCTTGATGACCGTACCACTAACCCTTACAAGCTAGATCCAATATTATTTTTAAAAATTTTAAAATATTCTTACACTTTGTTTGTTTTTGAATGTCATTGTTTAACTTTTTTCGTTTTAAAAACATTAATACTAAAAATTTAATCACAGCTTTCAACAAATTCACTCTCAACACGAGGGCAACCACTTTTTAAATTAAGAGTTTTAAAAAACAGAAAGCAAAAGAGAGAGTATATTGACCATTTTTAACATTTTTTACTCTTTTTCTTTAAAGTATTTTTAAAATTATATTTATTGTTTTTTACTGGTTACACTTCGATGTAACATTTCTCTAGAGAATTCATTAATTTTTATTTGCATTAAGAAAAAATTCATTCAAAATAATAATTTTACTAAAGAGTCATTCTTCTTAATATTTTATTTTTTTTAAATCGTTAAAAAAAAAAAAAAAATTTATAAAATACCTATGTGACCAATATTTTCCATCAATATTGTACAATTAATAGAGTAATTATTTTTCATTATTTTTAAATAATCAAAAACTTAAATGAAAAATTTAATTGTGTTTAAAAAATTATTTGAAAATCTTATAATAGAAACCTGAGGTTTTGTAGCATGAACTTTTTTAAATAACTGCTGGAACACCCATAATAACGCAGTATAATCTTTTGAACGAAAGACCTGGTAAAAAAATAATTAAAAAAGATCTTAAGTCATAAAAAAATGAGTATATATAAACAAATATAAAGATAACTAAAAAATTTGAAAATTAATTAACTGCTTAATATTACTTCTTGGACAAATAACTTTAAGAACTTTCTAACAAACTTTAACAACTAACTTTCTAACAACTAAATAAGTAAAAAATTTTGAGAGTGAATTAACACTTACAGTAAAATGGTGTAATATTGAAGGTGATAATAATAATAATAATAATAACAATAATAATAAAGGGTGTCAAAATTGAATTTTTAGGTACTACATACATGTTATAATATTACAGGTAGTAGTAGTATATGTACTGCAGTTTAAATTATCATCAAACTTGACTCAACTATAAATTGTTCATGACACCGTAAGCGTTGAAGATGCCTCAGTCTTGATAACTCAACGTGGTAATAAAACCTTATGATGTCTTAACAATACACACTAAAAGCACTAATTGAGACACCATTGATATGTAACATAGCACTGTTAATATTATATTAACACTTTTAGAGCTATTGATGGAATCAGCAACTTTGAGAGGTTTTACATAGATTGGGTAATTTAACTACCAGTTGGCTTCAAAACAATTAAACTGAGTTTTATACTTTCAATACAACAGGGTTAACAAGAGTTGCATAGCCACTACCATAGAGGCACAAACAAAATTACATGAATAGAGTTAAAAAGATACAGTGCTCAAAAAACAATGTAACACAGGTTTACACCTATGCCAATTAAACAGATAAACTAGGACTTCTACAAAGCAGTAGCTAGATGCAGTTACCATCTTGTATTGCTATTAAGACATTGTTTCTAGATTTTATTCAACCAAGAGCCTCAAGACAGAGGTATTTGAATTGAGACTTGGAGCACAAATAAACAATAAATTTGATGCAACTTAATAGATGAAATGTTGTACAAGAATGAATTTTGTTTAAAAACTTTGGCATATAAAAAGAATTAATTTTGTAAGATAGAACAAGAAATAATATCTTGTTTAAACAGCAACAATTGAAGTTTTTTTTTTTTAAATAAAATATTACAATTACTCTGAACAAATTTAACAACAAACTTTCCTTCGAAGAGCATATGAACATTTTATGCAAATAAAACAGGAACAATTGTAATGTTGTTTTTAGAAAAAAAAAGAGATAAAAAACTGCTCAAAGAGACATTGGTTCAACTTAGTTCATACTTAAGCTGGCTTTAGTTAGATATTAAATATACCAACTAGAATAATCAAACATATTTTTTCTGATTTTATATGTAAAAACTATAATTACGCTATTTCAAATAACATTTTTCCAGATCGATTCAAAAATGCTGATATTACAGGCATTACGGCAAATTCTGAAAAATATCACCTTACCATTAGCAAACATAGTAACCTTGAAGTTACTATGTTTCTAATTTAACAATTAAATCATTAGAAAATGTTACAATTACTTGGAATAAAACTCAACAACAAACTTTCCTTCGAAGAGCATGTGAACATTTTATGCAGATATACTAGCAGAAATGTAAACACACTTTCAAGAATTGCATCATATATATCTTTTAAACAACGTAAACTTATATGGATGTTTCACAGTAAGAAACTAAATAAACACATAAATAGAATCCATGAGAGAGCTTTAAGAATTATCTACAGAGACTATGAATCTTCATTTAAATTCTCTTACTAAACAGCAGTACTTTAACTATACACCAAAAAAACCTGCGTAGTTTAGTCACTAAGATTCTCGAAATTACAAATTGCGCCTATATCTATGAATAAAGTTTTTAAGTTTCTCAAATTAAATCTGAGATATGAAAAGCCAAACACCACCGATATTTGTACAACAAAATATGGATTGGAATTTCTATCATACCTAGGACCTAAAATTTGGATACCAATCCCAAATGATTGTAAAACATCTTCATCTTTGAAGAAATTTAAACTTAAAATAAAAAACTGGATTCCCAAACAATGCCTATACAAATTATGCAGATTTATTAACAAACTGATGTAAAATTAAATCTTTATTTTTTTGTTAATTTTGCCGCTCTAATTGGCTTTTTTATTATTATTATTAATGTATATATCAGTTGTCTTTTTATATTTATAACAATATTTATTTTTGAAGGATAAGTGTCAGTTGACTTAAATTAGCTAATTATAGAACTATCATTGTAATAAACATATATGTCAACTATAAATAAATTACAAATAAAATAAATAAACAGTTTAAGTTGAACAATTGTCCCTTTGTTGCAGTTTTGTGCAAAAGGTATTTGTGTGCAAAAAATGTGCATATGCTCTTTTGCATATTATCTAGAAGAAGATAAAGAAACATTAAAAGAGCCAGACAAGACATTAATATTACAATAAATACATTATTATATATTTTTAATAAAAAGACAATGAGGAGAAGGAAAGTAACAAGTACAATTTTGAGAGGCGCCATTTTGTTACCATATTACCATGATACCATGTTACAATGTTACCATGAACTTGTGTGTACTGTCCTTGGATTTTAGTTATCATTTGTAACTCTTTTATTATTTTGTATTTTTACAGTTTTGAATTTGAGGGAATTTAATTAAGCTTTAACGAGCTTTCTTTAAGTAATCCATTCTTTCTTTAAGTATCTATTTTTTCTTTAAGTATCCATTCTTTCTTTAAGTATCTATTTTTTCTTTAAGTATCCATTCTTTCTTTAAGTACCTATTCTTTCTTTAAGTATCTATTCTTTCTTAAAGTAAAGTATTTTTTATCATTTTCAACATTTTATCTTAATATATAGAATTTAATCAATACCATTTGTGAAAATGTTTAGTTTGTTGAAATATTTGATGCAGAGGTATTTATTTAATTTTTGAATGATCCAAGTTTTATATTTTATAATTTTTATTAAGATAGAAACATGGATTTTTTAAAGCAATATCCATAATTTTATATTTTATATTAATAATATTAGTTTATAATATTAACCATATCTATTAATTTGTATTATTAATTAACTTAACAATTTTGTATTATAATTTAGGTATATTTAGTTAAGTATTATTTTTTAAATATCTAGTAGACCATTTTAAATACTAAAAATAGAAGAGATCTAAGGACAGAACATTAAGAAACACGATACTCAAATGTATACTTCTATTCAATTAAGTAACTTCCAACATAACCTAATAACTTTAATGATCAGTTGCAAATGTGGTACTAATCAAATGACTTTGAGAAATTTGTGCACAACATATTGACACACCATTTTAATTACCATCAGATAAATAGTCAAGTGTTACTATCAAATTTGCTTTTACTATTTAACTATTTCTTTGTTAAAATCTTGTTACTTAAGAATGACAAAATTAAAAAAGAAAAAAGAAAACATATTTTATTAACTTACTTCCACCACACCCCACCTTTTCTCTCTCTCTACCCCCAAAATAAAATAATAAAACTTTTTTCAAGAGAATATTAGCTAAAAACAGCTACTAACTAATTAATAACCATGTAATAAATCCCTAATTGTGTAATTCAAGTACTTACTTTAGTAATAAACCACCCTCCTCTTTTTAGATGTTCAGATGCAAGTTTTAGTGCAGAAAGTGCAAGTTGTGCTAAAATAATGTAATATAAAAAACATGTAACAGAATTATATCACATTCACTATAGGTAATTTTATCATTATGTTACTCCTTTAGTGTTCACTATATGATTATGTCATCAGTAATTGATTTTTAAAAAAATTACTTTTTTCAATCAAATCAACTGCTAAAATATATTGTAAAGGTTTTACTTTATTAACATTTTGAAATTCTACTTGATGAAATCAATGACTTTAAACTGCTTTTATATTTTTACCTTGTGAAAAAGCATCTTGCACCCATGCGGCACCAACATTAGGAGCACCATCATTAAGTACAACATCAGCACTCCATGTTTTTAACTCCTTTCTGACAAGCTGTATAAAAGTTATCAATAAAAAATTAGTTTAAATAAAATAATCAATTTCTAAAGTCACTTGAAAATAATTTAAAATAAATAATATAAAAATAAATAATTATATAAAATAAATATATAACTGATATAAATATATTAATAATAAATATACAAAAATATTAACAGTTTATAACTGTTAATGAAGATTTATGAATAAACCTCCATTTTTATGCCACATTTAAAGCAAAAATATTTTTGAACATATTTTAGAAATATAGTTTAGAGATTTTTGACAAACATATGTCAGCTTCAAATTCTTGTCAGCAACTTGCAGAATTACAAAGCACAAAAAAAAATGAAAAAATAGTAATACCGGAGGTCACAGGCCTGACGTATGGTTGCTAGCAATAATGAACATTTCATGACATATGAAGTATATGAACATTAATGACATATGAAGTAACTATTTTTCATACAGTACATGTAGTGTGCAAAAGTTTAGAAAAAACAAACATTTTTTTCTGTTTTTAACACGTAACTATCACAAAAATAAGTTGAAATTTTTACAAAATGTGCTTTATGATACTTAAATTCAAAATAAATTCACAACTAACAATGTTATCGTGTAATTAAAACTTAACAGTTTTTTTGTGCAAAAGTTTAAAAGTTGTACAAATTTTTTGTGCACAAAAATTTTACCAAATGTCAGCAATATTATTATATAATATAATTTCATATAATATTATTATATGAAATTATAAAAACAGTAATATTAAAAATGCGAATATAATTTCATGTAATATTATTATATGAAATTAGATTAGCATATTTAAAATTGGTGTTTTAGACATAACTTTATTTATTACCAAAAGATATTTAAATTCAAAATAAAACTACTAACAATGTTAACGTGTAATTAAAACTTAACAGTTTTATTGTGCAAAAGTTTAGAAACATTTCCCTCAATTAAATCAAGTTTTTGTAAACAAAATTAAAAAAGCAAAATTAAAGGCAAAAATATTTGTGAAATTTAATCTTTAAAAAAAAAAGTCACTATTTTTTTTAATAAATATGTATTTTAAAAAGTCTCTCATGGACTTTTAAATACATATTTATTAAAATGGGAAACTGTTTGTTTTACCCAGTGGTCACAAGACATTTATTTAAATGTCTTAAATACGTAATTTAGACGTCTTAAATACATCTTGTGCTGCTACTTTAATAATAAAACCTTATTTGTGCACAAAAAATTCGTACAAATAATGTGAGCGATGGTGTAATAAGAATGTACAATTGTACATTTTTATTACATCTTCGTAAAAAATTTACTTGAGGAGGACTTAAACCCTCAACACTAGTACCAGCGCCTCAAAAGAAGAGCATTATTACATACACAGCACTACACGAATAAACTGATGATGTAACAAATAAAAATCAAATTTACAAACAAGTTACTTGATTAAAAAAGTTCTGGTCAAGCGAAAAAAAAGATTATAAAAATGTTGTTTTGAGCACCACCCTAGTGTATCTTCAATACATTGTATAAAATATTTTATTTTTCTTAATGCAATAAAACTAAAATTGGATTTAAAATACCTGTCTACATTTATCAGTGGTTATATCAGCTTGTATAGTGGTAACATTTTTTATTGGCTTTATTGGTACTAAATCAATACCTAAAAATAAATAATGTAAGTTTTAGACCAGTCTTCTTTATTTATGATTCTCTAATAAACTTTCTACATTTTATATATCATACATATCCTATAGAAATATAACATGCAGCATTTTTGTTATCCTAATAATAAATTAAGTTTGTAAATAATGTCTTTTTTATCAATTTTAATAATTATTTTTATTATTATTAGATACTACTGCACATTTTTTAGCGCCATTATATTTAAATACTTGATAATAAATAAGTACTGACTTCAAAAAAATATACAAATATATAAAAATATATAATATATAATAATTATATAGTAAATAATATAATAATATATAAAAAATATATATATATAAATACTGAAAAATAAATAGATTTTAAAAATATATATACTAATACTGAAATATATAAAAACATATAATCGCTTATAACTAATACTTAATTTAACGCTGCCGCTGCTGCTGCCCATTTGTGCGTGTTTACACAGATTTTTTTACCATTCATTATAAATAGGATTTAGCATGCACCTTCTCTTTATCCTTTTGAACTCACACGATGAGGTACTTTCAAATCTTAATAATCTGTAATATCTGCTTAATCAGTAATAAGATCAAAAACTTTGCTTCATCAGCTTAATTAGTAATAAGATCGACAATTTTCATCTGATAACTTTTGTAGTAAAGGATGAATCTTAATTTATTTTTGAATTAGTAAAGAAACTTTTAAAGTGAGTTAATTTACTTCATGCAATATAATAATAACACAATTCAAGTCCTTTGTCAATTGTATTAAAGTATATTAATCTGTAATTTTTAAATTTGAAGACGATGATGACTGTAGAAGACGTTGCTCTTTTCAAAGGGTCAAGAGGTCGAACTCTTAATAAAGTTAGTGTTTATTTTCAAAACCCTTGCATCTCACTGTCAATATTTTATATGCTAAAGAACAAGATCGTTTAATACCTTATTTTAAAGACAAAAAAAAATCTGTTTGCTTTTATATAAAAAACCATATTGTTTGATCGTTTGTTTTACCAAGTTGTTAAACATTTATTACGAGGTATGTCATTAAACAAATATTACAAAAATAAAGTTGTATTGGTAAAGTTTTTAGTTTATATATTTTTCTTAATTTATATATTTATTTATATTTGTGTGTTATTTATTATGTGTTTATATGTGTTAAGGTTTATATTTTGTAAGTGTGTAAATATCTTTTATATATGAAGTGTTTCTATGTTTGTGAAATAATGTTATTTGATTATTGTTTGTAAGTGGTTATTATGTTGTTTGCATGGTTTCAAATTGTTGTGACTTGGCTTAGTTTACAGCAAGAGTGTTGACCTTGCTAGCTAAGTGGTGTACCTTTCTATAATGTGACCTGGCTTTATTGGGAGCAAGATTGTTGTCCATGCCATTTAAGTGATGTTCTGTCATGATAAAACACATTAAATTAAATTTGTTTGTAGTCATAAAAAGTGTTAAGAAAATATTGTTGAAAGAATGTGTTTATAAGAAATGTTGAAAAGATATATAGTTTTTTAATATCTATAATCTTTTTAATATTTATAATTTTAAGTAAATTTTATTGAACAGAATTATACTTTATTAAATATTTTTTATACTGTTACTTTTTGAGTAAATTTGTTTAAAAGATATATACTATGTTCTTCATTCTTAACAATTTATGCTTTTTATGATAAATTTTGTTAAAAAACTTTTTACAAATAGCTCCTCCCCGTTTAAACATTTAACTGGAGCATCGTGTTACTTTGTCCCAGTATTATAGTTATAGGTTTGCTGTTAGACAAACTTTTAGTCCTAAATACAAACTAATTAGTCCTATATAGTTATTGTTTAATTTAATAGTGCTTACTCATTTGTGCATGTTTGACTCTGAGTTTTTAAAGAAAATTTGTTACACTTGACCATATAAAGTATCACTTGACCATATAATAAAATTTATATTTTTGACCACATGGTAAGGTATTCTCAAATCTTTGATATCTCTATTATAATCTGTAATATCTGTTGAATCAGTTATAAGATCTTAAGTTATTTGATATTAGATAATTTGATGCAATCATAAATTCTGTTTCATAAATGTGTATAAATTTTTATATATATAACTCTAGCTGCTTCTTTTGGCTCAACAAGTGTTGTTGTACTCAAACTTGACTTAGTACATTAATTGATTGCATTTATTGTACAATACTATTTTATAATACTGTAGCCATTTTTTAAAAAGTCTTAAGGTAAAAAAATCAAATTTGACTTTTATACAAAATAAGCTAATTTAGATGCCTACAAACGTTAATGAATAAACATTTTCAAAGAATTATGAAAAAATTCATAAAAATTTTTAGTTTCAAAAAATGTTTTACAAAGAGGTTCCTCTAATAATTGCGCTTTTCCTGAAATACGTAATAAGCATCTTAACGTTGTACAAATATGTCTTTTATTTCAATCAATCAATGTAATAAGTCAAATTTAAGTGAGTATAATAGTTTTATTGTTTTACTTATATTTAATATTTTATAATTATATGCACTTATACTTGACTTCTTGCATTGATTGATTGCTTTTATTGTAATTTTAATTTTTATGTAGCTGCAGCTTCTTCTGCTACAACAAGAAAGATGTTGTACTCACTTATACTTGACTCAACACATTGATTTATTTTTATTATTATCATTATTATTATTATTTTAATGTTAGATTTTTAATAAGTAGTATCTTCTCTCTTAATAATTATATATATATATATATATATATATATATATATATATATATATATATATATATATATATATATATATTTTAAAATAAGAAAATATTAAATATCTATATAAATTATTTAAATGACACTTTTATTAACACTAAAAACCCGCCAAATTTACGAACAAACTAATTCTATTGGTTCAAAAAATATGCTGACTAAGCAAAATAAAGTTCTAGAGTATTCTGTTGAAATGTTTTAGGAATTGTATTATTTATGATTTGTTGCGTTTTGAGATATCTAGCATAAATTTTTTTAAGAATATATTATCAAATGAACTATTACTTTAATATTATGGCTCATTCTCGGAGCCACATCTGCAAAGCCGTAAATCTTTTAAACTACTATCATTTGTTTACAAAAATAAATGTTTTATAGTATATATTTTATAATTGTCAAAGTTTTGAAAGTTAATTACAAATTATATATTTTATTAGTATATTCTTATTTTTTATATCTTTTCCTAGTGCTTGGTTTAATTAATTGTTCGTTAGATTTGTCGAAACAACTTGCATTAAAATATAAAGAATACACTCGTGAATCATTGGAGATATTATATAACTCGATTTGACACCATAGGGGTCCCTAGGTCCACCATCCCCGTGGCCCATGTAGCCACGGCTCTGATAGCTACAAAAAAACATAAAGTTTTTTCAATGTAAAGATTTTAGAAAATAAAATAACTAACTATAGTTAGCTATTTTAGTAAAATTTAATAGTAAAATTTTTAAAGAATTTCTAGAATGCTTCCAATGACGTCATGTACTAAAACTTCTATGAATTAAACGCACTTGAATATTTATCAAGTCTGTATAATGCGCCTGGAAAATTGCGTTTATTTTACAGACTCCAAATACCACAGAAAATGGAGAAGACAAGCTTCGACTAAAACAACAAGATTTGTTTTTCTTGGTATACATTTATTAATAAATTTTAATTTAAAAAAATTTGCTCAGACTTTTTTTTTTAACATTCTCTTTAATATGAACACAATATATCTCGGGACTTGGTAGTCCCCTAAAGGTTTAAGTAATTTAAAGTTTACTGTAATATGTTATGTTATTTGTTAATTTTGTGATGTTATTGTTGTGTTGATAGATTAGATGACTTGGTTTACTTTCACATCGGGGTCTTTAATTTAAAACGATTATTGAGTAGAAACTGACTACTAATAATCATTCACTAAAAGCTAAAGATTCAGTTTTTAAATAAAAACAAATGTGTATCTTATTGTGATCATTTTTTTTTTAGCTTTGCTTTTTTGAATAGAGTTGTTAATCCAAACTTGCAACAATAAATCTTGAAAGTAATTTCTTATTTGTTATCTGTTTAGTCACATTTTTGAGTTTTTAAATAAATAGAGCACATAACAAAATTAATGTGTATTAAGTATATTCAATAATAATTTTGTTCCGTTTTTAGGTCAAATTCCTTCTCCTATGACTGATTTTCAAAGTTCCTACATAGTAGAATTTAAGAAATGTTCTGAATGTTGATTGTATTCAAAAAGCTGAAACAAAGCTTAATAAAGTTCATACCATTTAATGAAGATGTATAATAATGAAAAAATGTTTCAATTTAAATTGTTTTTATATAAAATTTGTAAATGTTGAATATAAAATTTTTTTATATATTTTTTTAAAATTTATTTTTTTTTCGAAAATTTTTTTGTTTGTTTCTCAAATAAATTTCTATTTTTTTTCCTTTGGAATTATTGTTTTGAATAGATATATTGGCTATTTTTGCTTTATTTTTTATATTTCCATTATCTTTTTATATATGAATAGAAACCATTTTTATATGTGAATGGAAACCATACTTTTATCACCTTTTGTACAATCAAGACGGCTTTTATTGCATTAAGTATCGATTGCACAAACATCAGGTTTAAAAATTTATTTGCCTAATTCCGCAGTAAAAACAGCTTAATTGTATGAATTTGTTAAGTTTTTTTTAGAGAAAGGTTTTTATAAAAAATATCAAACAGATATAGCTAACTTATATGAAATAACTAGGTTTCTTGGGCCGAATTTTCAATGCCCAAATTTGCTTTTTAAATAAATCCTTATGAGAGAGTTAAAATATTATTATCATAGCCTAAGTTTCCAAAAACACCTGAAGAAATGTTACACTACTGTTTTATATGCTAAAGATATTAAAGTAAATAAGTAATAATGTAATAAGTATATATACCAAATAGTCCTAAAGTATAGTAAATTAAATATTAACCAG